TGACAAGAAGCCAGACACTGAATTTGATACTGATGCCCATGTCTAAGAGGCATCCATATCACACCCAGCATCATAGAAGCAGCCAGCATGGGACCTGTTATGAATTCTGTACCATCCCTCGATGCTACACTTCAGAAAGATGTATTCCTTCTTCCCTCCTCTCTGGCATCAAGCAGGGAACCCTCTCCCCTGCCACTGACTAAAGAACCCAATGAGGTTGTCAGGGAGCCCCTCTTCAGAGTGCCAACCCAACGAGCATGGAGCAGTGACTGGCACTGGGGCAGCCAGCCACAACCTGGCCAATACTGATAGACTATAACAACTTGTCCATACTGGCCTTATTGGGGACAGTACTCCCATATGTCAAGGAGCAGATCACCTTCCCACATGTCCAGAAAAAAGAAACAATCACACTTCCTGGTGGCTTTGTTGGCTAGACTAGCCATACTAGAACAGGAGATGATAGAGAGACAATGACCCCCCCCCCCATCTTCCCTAAGAAATACTCCTAATCAAAGTAGCATCACCAGCATCCACCCTGTCAAGAGATGACTTTAGAGCAGTGGTCTCCAAATTTTTTACCTTATGCCCCCTCTTGCCCTAGTCCTTGTCTCCCCAACCCCCATATCTGGGGCCGTGAGCAAGGCTGCAGCTCCAGGAGGGGGGACATGGACCGGGCTAAGGGAGCCAAGGCTGGGGCCATGGCTGGGGGTGGGGCCAAGGCGGGGGCCTCCCAGCATAGTGCTGGGTGGTGTTCCCTTCCCTCCTGGCCCGGGCCCCAACGGCGCCCCCCTAGAACATTCCTCCATGCCCCTCTGGGGGCTTACCCCACAGTTTGGGAACCTCTGCTTTAAAGTTTTCAGGACCTCATGTCCTTAATTGCAGAGACCCTGAACATTGAGACTCCTTTTATACCAGATAAGTTTCATTTGATATTCTGAGTACAATGTCCTCAGTCAGAATCACTTTTCCAATTAATGAAGGGATCCTAGAACCAACCAAAGGGCTACTGAAAACCTCAGACACTATTTCGTTCCTCCTCCAAATACTTGGAGAAAAGGCATTGGGTGCTGCCGAAAGGTTTTGAGAACTTGTAGTCCCATCCAAACCCAGAGTTCTGCATTGTATCTGTAGCACAAGGGAAGTCAAAGTCCAATAAGGGCACTCCTAAGACGTTAGACTTGTGTGTTCAAAGCCCTCTTTTCAGCTTTGGTTGGTGAACTACCAAGTACAGTTGCAGTACAGAAGTACAGTTACTTCTTGTGGGAGAGAGTAACCCACTTGCAAAAGTTCAGCAGGAGGGCAGGGATGAAATGAAAAACCTCATCAGGGAACGGGGAAGCTGGTCAAGAAAACATCACTGCAGATGCATGGGTGCTGTGATATGGCTGCAAGGTTGATGGCCATGTCCTTTACCAAGACAAGCCTTGTGGCTGCAGGCATCTGGCATATCACATGAAGCAGAGGCCACAATAAAGGACTTGCTTTTTCAGGGAATGGAGTTCTTCAGCCAGAATACAAATGAAGTGCTCCAGTCCCTCAAGGATTCAAGGGCCATGTTAAGGTCCTTTGGGATTTACATACTATTTCCCTGCAGAATGTCTTGTATCAACCCCAGCTAGAGCAGAGAATACCTTATTCCCAGACCAAGAGCCAGAATATCAACAGCAGAAGAGTGCTAGGTACTCCAGGCCAACCCAGCTCCTTCTCCGAGGCATCAAATTTGATAAGAGTATCAAGTGCCACAGCAGAGCCCATCTAAAGCCCATCCTTCAGGAATCACCTTGCTTCATTCCATCAGGCCTGGGTTGCTATCACACCCAACAAAGGAGCATTAGACATCATTACCCATGGCTACCCTTTAGACTTCCATTCCACCTACCTGCCCTTCTTTCCCATCCCTTTTCAGGGACTCTTCTCACAAGAGCCTGTTAAAGCAATGAGGCTTTCTCATTTGTTTATCTGAGAGCCGTAGAAGAGATACCGTGGGAATGATGAATAGAGGAAGAGCTTTCTACTCCTTACTTCTTTCTCCAGAAGAGGAAAAGGGGGTCTTGATCCTATCCTAGACCTGAGGAGACTGAACAAATACATATTTTGCTTCAGATTCAGGAAGGTAATACTTAATCTCAGTCATTCCATCTTTCCAGGCTGAAGATTTAATTTGTGTCTCACTACTTGCAAGATGCGTACTTTCCTATATCCTTCTATCTGACCTGCAAGGAGTACCTAAGATTCACAGTGGGACCCAACCATTGCCAATACAAGGCACTGCCATATGAACTCTCCACAGCACGGGGAGTCTTCGCAAAATGCCTAGCAATGGTAGCAACACACCCCAGACGAAAAAGGCATTCATGTTTACCATTGAACCAGAGATTGGCTGATTAAGGGCAGATCCCAACCGAAGGCTGCGGCACACCTGAAATGTGCCTTCTTCCTGTTCTTTCAGCTGGGTCTACTAGTGAACTACAAAAAATACTTCCTTCCCCCCTTTACAAAAAATGGCATTACAGACAACAGAGCTTATGGGAGTCCTGATCAACTCCAGTTTGGCAAGAGCATACCTCCCTGAAAACAGGTTCCTGTTACAGCAGTCATTGCTTTGCAGGGTAGAATCAAACCAGAGTAAGACTGTGTGGATGTTTCTGGGGTTGCTTGGCCATATGTTTGTGTGTGTGTGTGTACGTGACACCACTTGCCAGACTTCACCTATGGTCACTCCAACACTGTCTCAGTTTGATCTGTTCCCCAGCAATGCACCAGGTGAACAAGAAGGTGGTGATCCCACCATGCGTTGCCACACAATTTAGCTGCTAGAAGAAGCCTGGAAATGTGTGTGGAGGGGTACCATTTTCTGCCCCATCCCTGATAAAAACTTTTAGTTATGGGTGGATCAGGTTCAGGTTGGGGAGCCCACCTGGACTATCTACAAATGCAAGAGGCATAGGGCTCCACATCAGTATTCTGGAGCTCAGAACTATTAGGCCAGCCTGCATAATATTCCTACCTGTTCTTCAAAACTCTACAGTGCAGTCTTATGCAGTGGTTCTCAAACTTTTGTACTGGTGACCCCTTTTACATTGTAAGCCTCTGTGTGTGACCTTCCCCCCTTTTAAATTAAAAACACTTTTTTACATATTTAACACCATCATAAATGCTGGAGGCAAAGCAGGGTTTGGGGTGGAGGCTGACAGCTTGCGATCATATTTTAACCTCATGGTCCTGACCCCCCAGTTTGAGAACCCCTGGTCTTATGTGCATCACAGAGATGTCATCTACATAAGTGTGCACCTTCTCGCTTATTTCTCTCTCCTCTGTCTGGGAGCCATCAGGCTCTGGACGTGGTGTTACCAACACAGGATGACCTCTGATGGCTCTTCACCTCCTGGATGTCAGCAAAAACCTGGTGGATTTCCTAAGTAGTCAGTTACCTCTCTGGAATCGTCATTGTGGAAATCCATCATAAAGCCAATATTCCTACTTTGGGGGACCCCAGTAATAGACCTGGTTGCCTCCAGTGTCAATGCCAAGTACTTGAACTCTTGTTCCAGAGGTGGTAAAAGTCTGGGCTCATTACTGGACACCTTCTTTTTGCAGTGGTTTCAGGGCCTCTCAAGGCCTTTCCACTGATTCCCCGAGATGATTTCCAAAATCATGTGACAAGCCTTTGATCTTTCTCGTAGCTCCATACTTTCCAAGGCACCTTTTGGCCAATGGATCTACTACTTCTCCCTACAGTGTCCAGACCTGATCTCACAACACCATGGCCAGCCAGATACTCCATCCAGACTTGAAGTTAGTGAACCTGATAGCATGATTGTTGGCTGGTTGAGTGCCACAGATGGAGATTGCTTCCTGCAGGTCCAGAAAACTCGGATAGGTGCTTTCCTGCTCTGCATCAGAGTAACATATTCATCTGAATGGAAAAGTTCTCGATATGGACAGCCCATCATGGTCTGGTCCAGGCCTCATTGCTACAGATCCTTGTCTACTTATTGCATTTAAAACAGGCTGGCCTCTTATTTAGCTCTATTAAGATCCATTTCATGGTGATTTCAACTTGTCATCCACCTGTACAATTATGTTTGGTCTTCTCTCACCTTATAGTATCAAAGTTTTTTAAAGGGCTGTTACACACCCACCAGTCAGAGGTCCCTGCCTGAGACCTCAATCTATTTCTTCTGAGACCTTTAGAGCTTCCATTCAAATCTCTGTCAAATTGCCCCCGTAACACCTCCTTCTGAATACAATGTTCCTAGTGGTTATTAGGACAGCCTGGAAAGTGAGTGCACTTCAGGTGCCTATAATTAACAACATTCCATAGGGACAAAACTGTTGCAATCTCACCTGAGGTTCATTCCTAAGGTGGTCTCTGAATTTCACCTGAACTAGTCAATCAAGCTGCCTGTTGTCTTCCTACAGCCACACTCTGCACAAGGAGAAAATAAATTATATACACTAGATGTATCCAGGACTTGGCTTTATTACGTTAATGACCAAATTGTTCAGCCTATTGCCCCGTCTATTTATAACTCTGTCCAGGTGTTCTGAAGTTCAAAGCATCTTCTTACATTGTGTATCCATTTCAATATCCTCTGTATTTTGCTTTGCTGTCAGTTAGCTAGTGTATCTGTCATACCAAACATCAAGGTTCACTCCACCAGAATTCAAGTGATATAGTCAGCCTGTTTCAGAAATGTGCCAGTTTCCAAGATCTGCAAGGCGAGAATGTGGTGTAATTTGCTCGCTTTTGTCAAGCATCATGTGTTGGATTTAGTGGCTAGAGCAGATGCCAAATTTGGAAGAACGGTACTTCAACTTCTGTTCAGTTGATGCGGCTGAAATTCCTCATTCTCATTCTGAGAGGATGCTGCTTAGTCACCTACAGTGGGATCCATACTGACACATACTCAAAGAACAAACAGTAACTGTAGTTCTTCGAAATGTTATAATCCCTGTGGATCTCACACCAGCCCATCCTCTATCCTTGCTTTCAGAGGTCTCAGCTACCACGGACTTCAAATGGTGAGGGAACTGAGGGAGGTTCACAGCCATTCCTCCCTTCATGCTCTCACTAGGGAGCAGGAGAAGGCATGGAGTGCATGCACAGTTCTGATGGATTTTACTATTCAAAAAAAATCTGAACTCTCTCACATGAGCCACATACATATCTACAGTGGGATCCACATTGTCTACAACATCTCAAAAAAACCACAGTTATTGTAGGGTAAGTAGCTATTCTTTTCCCACATAATATACACTTAAGATTAGCGTAGTAGTTATACAGACTGTTCTCTTGGGCCTGGAATAAAATTTAAAATAATATGACAGGTCTCCTTAAAATGGAGATTACAGCTAGTGTGGAATCATACTCTGTGCTCAGTTTCTTTGATGGACTTATTAGATCAAAAGTAAAGTGTTCTGCTCTTTCATTGGAATTATCATCTGGAAGATTCATTTGTTTCATGTAATCAAGAGAGAGTTTATGAAAGTTAATTTTAATGTTCTTGAATGCCAAGATGTGTAGACTTTTAGCAGAAAGAATTTTGTAAGAACCTTTTAATGATGATGAAGTTATGTTAATAATGTTAAACAAGTGGTAATGGCTAACTATCATGGATTTTTTTTTTCTGAATTGCAGCACAAAAACAATTCACCCCTTCTTTCCCCCCTTAGGGTCTAAGAACGTCTTTAATTTGCAAGATTTTAAAATAAACCTTTAGAGTTTTTTTTCAGACGAATGAAATGCTTGCTTATTTTTCTCTTCTTCAACTAGCTGTTGTAAACTGTTAATATGTATTCCCCCTGCCTTTTCTCCTTTCCCTTAACTTTGTGGGGGTGTATTAGAAGTTACAATTAAGAGTACAGAAGAACTTCAAATATTCATCTGTAACTATATTTAGCAAAACGAGTTGAAGTTACTTTTTCCTTGTTATATTGAAATAAACCCTTGTTTAAATAAAGCATTTTAAAATTGAAGTTGTCCATAGCAAAACACAAATATTTTAAATAAAATATGTCACTGTATATGCCCTAATGGGTGCAATAAAAGAGGCTAGTTAAGAGTTGCTTCTCAGATAAGTTCATAAGAATAATATTGCTTCTAAATGATGAAATTTAAGAGAAGGAAATTAGAAGCATCTCTTGCAGTATTGTTAATAGGAATATCCTTAGTTATTGATGCAAAGATGGATATTTAAAGTGATGTCACAGAAATCAGTTTGAGAGAGATTCCTATAATAATGGGTAATCTCATAGGCCCCACATTCTGTAAATACACGTGTACTTAAGTTTACTACCATAAGTAATACCATTGAAATCAATGAGACTATTCACTGTCGTATAGTTGAGCATGTGTAAGTATTTGTATGATTGAGCCCAGAGTTTGTTCTTTCAGAGTAGTTTTTATACGAAGATCTCAAAACACATGACAAGATTACTGCAATTTAGGTATCCCCATTTTTATGGATGGGTTGAAATGACTTGCTTAATGTCACACGGGAAATTGGAGTTGTAAGATGTATCAGAGTTTCCAGCCAGGTTTCCAGACCTGTGCCCTAACTATCAGAGCTCACGAAAGCTCATGCTCAAATAAATTGCTTAGTCTCTAAGGTGCCACAAGTACTCCTTTTCTTTTTATCAGACATCAAGTTGTCATGAAGAGAAAAAATGTTTATTGGAAGTTGAGATGTTCTGAGATACTTAATTAAATTATCTGGGAAGAAGAATCCACTTTAAAAGGGGATATCCAATTCACCTATCTTTTAGTCAGAATTTTTATTAACTTTTACATGAAGTTCGAACAAAATTATTTTTGTAGATATAAACCCCACAACAATATTAAATTAATTCCTGTTACTATAAAACTTAATTGTTTGAAAGAGACACATTTGTAGAATGCATTCTTTAAGAAAGGAAAAAGTACATCATATATAGTTAGTTTCTGGTTATAAACCTATTCATGTTACAAATCATTTTCATTAAAATCAAATTGATTATGCTCTTGCTACACAATTCATTCAAAATGTGGTTAAAAGCAGTTTTGAGTTTAATCAGAGGACCACCTCCAATCTTTAGAAACATGCATGAATATTGTATTCAGAATTAAAAACTTACTCGGTAAGATATTCTTTTAAAGTACAACTTTCAATTGTGTATAAATTTCAGTAAATTGAGCTTCAAAATGTTAAATTTCTGTCAGCAAATTCTAGTTCTGAAAGAGAGATCAGAAACTTCCCACCCCCATAAATTTTAGGGGAAAAAATTATAATCTGTTTCTTAACTAAAGCCAGGTTTCTAAATGTGACTAAATACTTACACTTTATACAGAAATGGAGACTTTCTTTTTAACAGAGGTTATTCAGTCAGTTTTCCTTCTGATGTTTGCTTGTATTCATAAAATAGATCAGATCTATACAAACTGTCAAAATTGCTTTCTCTATAAGACAATCAAATTGAAAAGTTTTACACCAGGCTGCAACACCAAAAATATGTCATTTAGTAACCTAAACAAGTCAGTTAAATCATCAAAAACAATGGCCTTAGAAATGCTGCTAGCCTGTGGCATCTTCTTTTCCCTCTGCTGGTTCTTACAGATGCTGGCCTGTGGTCACCCCACCCAGCCTTTCATAGCTCTATGCTACATGGTTTCTAATCCATTTACTAGTCTTTTAGTCACCTTTCAGATGTATGGGTAATTCCATTACTTATTGCTTTTACCTGATTGGAGCATGTCAGTTGCGCCTCAGTTTTAGAAAATTGCTTTTAAAAATCATGAGTGGTACATGTATTTAATCTATCTGTGTGTTAAATAATACCATGCTATGAAAATATTTGACCTTGAAACAAACCCTTTATTGGTAAAGTGAATAAAAATATATTGTGTTTGTCATTTACACCGTTTGACAAATAGCAACTTTATTTAACCTAACTGTTTCTAGCATCTAGTACTTTTAGTAAATTGTAGTTCTTTATATCTTTGGTTTTAAATAGATAGAACTCTGGGTCAAAGTGATCTCATGTGATAAATGTAGTCATTTAAAACAAATAATTGAACCCTATCAGTCAAGGTTTTCCCATATAAAAGATTATACAGTGTTTTTTTCCTTTTGTATTAAAGTTAAAGTTTGTAAAATGGATATATAATTTTCATGTTCCTCCTGCATTTAATTTACATGACTTGCTCAGAGACACTTTCTCATACAAGTTCAAAGTGAGGAAAAGAGTTGAACTAAAAAGTTGAATGTTTTTTTACTTTCTAAAAACTTAGTTCAAACATGCTAAGGCAGAAAAGGAAGCTAACATTTTATGTATGACTTTGAAGGAAAGATTGGAGTACTGCAATAGATCAGTGACTAAGTCCAGATGAAAGAATATAGGGGGAACTGGAAATTCATTCTAGATCTTGCAAGTGAAGTGCTAATGACGGCCTGAATGTCAGTGTCATCTTAAGTAGAGCACTTAGGATGTGGTTGTTGCTGTATAAGACACCAAGGAAGGCACAGCTTCTGTCCAGATTATTTTAAGTATTAACTATCTTTTTTAACTGTAATTTTAATTAGAAAAATTGTTTAATACTTTTGAGTTATTTAAGAAATAACTCTTGGCAATACAACAGAGTTAGTATAAATACATTTAGAAGCTTTTTGAACTGCTCTGCATAGAAATAACTCCCTAAACCAGGGGTGGGCAAACTTTTTTTGGCCTGAGGGCCACATCGGAGTGCGAAACTCGTATGGAGGGCCGGGTAGGGAAGGTGGTGCGCCCCCCCACCCCCCAAACAACCAGGCCTCCGCCCCCTCCCACTTCCCGCCCCCTGACTGCCCCCCTCAGAACCCCCGACCTATTCAACCCCCCCGACTGCCCCCGGGATCCCACCCCCTATCCACCCCCCCACCAACAGGCCCCCCGGGACTTCCATGCCCTATCCAACCCCCCTGTTCCCGGACCGCTCCACCTCATCCAACCGCTCCCTGTCCCCTGACTGCCCCCTGGGACCCCTGCCCAACAGTTGCACCGCTGCGCATGTGTCACCACCGCTCCCTCCAGAGTGGCAGGAACTCGCAGCCCTGCTGCCCACACGGCAGCACAGAAAGGAGGACAGCGGGGGAGGGGCCAGGGGCTAGCCTCCCCGGCCGGGGGCTCAGGCTGGGTAGGATGGTCCCGTGGGCCATAGTTTGCCTACCTCTGCCGTAAACTCATCAACATGGCCCCTATTCTTGTCATATTAAGTCCCTTTCAAAACTTAATCCTGCTATATTTTTGGGGGGTGAGTTTAGTTGATTTATATATAAATTGTCTATAGTTGTTCCACTTCTAATCTGCTTGTTTATCTGGCTGTAGATTGTAAGGTCCTCTGAGCAGACAATGTCTATGAGTTTGTACATAGTAGATACAAAACAATAAAAAAGTATAAATATAGCAGAAATGGTGTGCATTTTACTTAGCTATTAAATGACTAAAAATGTAAAAGACAAGAAAAAAAGCTGCTGGAATTCCTCTAGTCACATTTTTTGTCTTATTTTCTTTTAAGTCTAGACTTTTAAATGTAGTGATATTTTTTATTTTTCCATTCATTGTTTTGAGGTTTGAGCTCCAGCATGAACATCTAGATTTTAAAAGAAGAAATTGAGTTTTGTACAGTGGTTAATGTAGCCACAGAAGAAAAATCTTACCACTAATCTTTTGTTAGGAACCTGTAGGCGTCTTCATGGTTTGCTAAATGTCTCACTGTGGTGTGAAGACTGTTTCAGCATTATGTTGTTGTCTGTTGGTTTATAGAATTCACATCTAAATAGTATGACTGTCTCGTGTCATTTAACCAGGCTCTGAATACATTTTCAAGTAAACTGTTTGGATTACTGTGGTTGGTGGTTTTTTTAGGAGTGGTTTTTTTGCCCCCGAAATCTGTAGCCCTTGAAATCTGCTCTGAACTTTTATGATTACAAGAGCATCAGTTCATAAGAGTGTATTACCCTTGGTAAACTGCAATACACAATCGCAACAGTATGCACAATTTAGACAATACAGAATGAGTGGTTTTACTCTTGATATTTGAACTTCCGGTTAACTGCTGGCAATAAGTCACGTGACAAAAATTTCACTTCTCCACTTGTTCTTAGGAAGTCCTGCACCTGTATACCAGAAAAAGCTAGCTTACTGAGGCACTATGCTAATAAAATTTCCTGTGCTTTTGTTTTAACCTGCTAATTTTCCTTAAAGATTCTG